CCAAAACATTAACATCATCAGCACATTTAAGTAACCTATTGATTTTTCCTTCATCTATATCTGTTATATGTACACAACTGTTTCATTTATATTTAATACAAGAGTTATTATTTAGAAAGGGAAAAAGTGCGAGTGTTAAATATAGTATTTTTAGAAGCGATAATTTATCTCAGGTTTGCCTACGCAACTGTTTACGAATCATTTGTTGTGAGTTGATGTCACGTTAGTCGAGCAATCGGAATTTTGCTTATTGCTTTAAGTGTGTATTGTTACATCGTAGTTTGTAGAAAGTTCTAGGCCTTAGTTCAAGGTAGTGGAAGTTAGTGAAAGTGAAAATAGTGAAGTTAGACTATGTGATTGTGAGTTTAGCCATAAAGACCGTATAGTGGCGACTTCTACACTGAGTTTCACAGCTTGTATTGTAATAACAGAGATAGAGGAGAATAATTTGTCTTATCAGAGGGTATTTTTAAGTAATAGTACCCGTATGTGTGGACTTTGACGAAAAAGGGACAATTATTTAAAGCTCTGGATACAACTGTGATAACCAATAATATAATGAAATTTTGTACATATATTTGACTTGTTTTGAATATATATATATATTATTTTAAAACAAGTAGATTATGTGCTGTCCTCTTATTGTTGAAATTCATCGCTAACAAGTCACAGACACCTACTGTAAATAATCTTGGTCATATATAAAAACCTGACAATGCCGTTGATGTAAATGAAAAAGAACAAAGGTCCTAAGACTGAGTCCTAGGGTAACCCACTTGTGACATTAATCAAGTCTGACTGAACTCCATTTAAAACAACCCTCTGCTTTCTTCCATCCAGCCACTCTTCTATCCAATTAGCTAACATATTCCCCACACCTATAGATATAATTTTTTACAAGCCTTCATGTGGCATCTTGTCAAATGCTTTTTGAAAATCCAGATACCCTAAGTCTACACCCTTACCCTCATCTACATAAGTAGTAACCTTTTCAAAGATTGTCAAAAGATTTGTAAGGCAAGTTTTCCCTTAGTGAAACCACATTGACTATCCAATAAAATTCTAAACTTTCTTAAATGACTGTGCAAAACATATTTTATCAGACTTTCCAAAACTTTTCCTCTAACTGATGTAAGGCTAATAAGCCTGGGAAAATATATTTTTTTCATTATTTGACAATATAAACCAGGTATATATGATAGTACTAAACATTCTTTCTTACTTTTTTCAGCAAATGGTTTTGACTTAATATTTTTATCCCTGTTCTTTAGTTTTATGACAGCTCTGTCAACAACATCTGGATTAAAACCTCTTTCCACTGCTATGTGCTTGATTAAAAATAACTCATTATTGATATCATCCTGTTTTGCCCTCCAGTGGCACAGCGGTATGTCTGTGGATTTACAACGCTAGAAACCGGGTTTCGATACCCGTGGTGGGCAGAGCACAGATAGCCCATTGTGTAGCTTTGTGCTTAACTTCAAACAAAACAAACAAAATCATCCTGTTTACAACATAATTTTAATATCCTGTCCACATAAGAGTAAAAAACATAGGTTTTTTGAGATGTAGTGTGACAAGACTGTTGATGTGGCAGAATAATTACAGAGAAAGGTTTACGATAAATGGCAGTTTCCAATTTATTCTTATTTTTGCTCACTAAAACATCCAAAAAAGTTAAACAACCATTGATCCCAACTTCATAATTAAATCTTATAGAATTATCAATGTTATTAAAGTAATTAGCAAAATTAGCTAGTTCATCTTTACCATACCGCCAAATCAAAAATGTGTCATCTACTTACCTTAACCAAACTTCAGGTTTTCTAGTGCTTCACTTTCAAAAATGCCCATAAATAAATCACACAATAATGGAGATAAAGGAGAACCCGTAGTTAAACCCTCGTTCTGTTTATAAACTTTGCTATTAATTTGGAAAAATGAGTTTTCAACACATATTTCTACCAGGTTAATTATATCCATTATTTCTAAGACTGAACTATTATTTTCTTTCAGTTTTTTCTCAAAATATTCAACAGCTTTTTTTCACAGGTACTTTGGTGAACATTGACTCAACATCAAATTACACCAGAATATCTTTTTGATCTAAAATTATATGCTCAATTCTTTCCACAAATTCTAACGAATTCTTAACTGTGTACTTATTTTTATCCCTTAAAAATGAGAATTTTTTAGTTATAAATTTTGCTATATTATAAGTTGAACTCTTAATATTGAACACAATAGGCCTGAAATTATTACCAATCTTATGAACTTTAGGCAAGGCATATATCCTAGGTAAAATAAAGTTACTGGGAATTAAACTTTGCTTTTCATAAGGTGTTAGAGTTATACAAGTCTTAATTTTTTCTTTAACTATTGTATGGAATCTATTTATAGGATTAAGCTTAATGTTCCCATACGGACCTTCTTTCAAAATTTCTTCAACTTTAGAATCGTAATTTTGTTTGTTTGTTTGAAATTAAGCTATACAAGGGCTATCTGTGCTCTGCCCACCACGGGTATCGAAACCCGGATTCTAGCGTTGTAAGTCCGCAGACATACCGCTGTGCTACTGGGGGGCTAGAATCGTAATCATTTGTATTAAGAATAACAGTTTGTCCCCCTTTATCAGCCTAGCAAATGACGGCAGTGGAAAGAGGTTTTAATCCAGATGTTGTTAACAGAGCTGTCATGAAATTAAGAAACAGGGATAAAATATTAAGTTAAAACCATTTGCTGAAAAAGTAAGAAAGAATGTTTAGTACTATCATATTTTTACGTTCGTTTGTTAATTTCCCGTAGAGCATTCATCTGTCTCCAGTTTGAAAAGCTGCGCACGCAGACAAAGCTCAAAATTCACTTTAGAAATGACAGGAGAGCAGGAATGAATAACCTTAATGCCAAGTTTTATTTCGCAAGCAGGATATTCTACATTAAGTTATTAGGAAATAACAACACTATCATTCACATTTCAAAATGTGACGTAATTTAAAGAATAAAAATGTAGATTTACCGTATGTTATTGTTCAGCAGCTCTTAGCATGACTGAAATGCTCAACAATTACTTTTCTCGGTGGGCGTTTTAAGCAGCTCAGAGCTTTGGCTCTGAGTGAAATCAAGAGTTCATCACAATTCATCTTTTTAAAGTCCATGAAATAATTTAACTGGATATATTAACTTGAACATTTTCCGTCACCGGGGACGGGTACATTTGCTTGTAAAACTATATTAGCATACTGAGGACAGTTACAACGTAATTCTATGAGACTTGACTGGCACACTGACAACAGTCACATGGTAAAGCTATAAGATTAGACAGACACGGCAAAGACTGTCACATCCTAAAAATAATCTCAATACAAAATTGTTGTAACTATTATTTGAGGCATATGGAGTCAAACCAAAATGGTTTTATTCACCAATTGGTTAAGGAGCCTACTAGAAATAATGGTTTTTTAGATTTATTGTTAACTTCTAATGCAGAAATTGTTGAGAGAGTGGAAATTAGGGAGCAAATGATCATTGCTTTACTAGGTTCGATGTTTTGCTGAATATGGAGATCAGAAATAATGATATTTTGGTTTGAAATTTCAAAAAAGCAAATTATGAAGGGATGTGACAAGAATTATCTGTTGTGAATTGGGCAGCTGAGTTATTAGGTGACACTGATTAAACCCAGATTTTAAATTTGTGTATCATAGTTATGCTAACCTTTCCAGTCCATTTTATATATTCCAGTCCAGTATAACAAATATATTATATGACTTTAGAGAACTGGTAGAAATGGGGGATTTTGATATAATGGGAATAACTGAAACATGCGTTATTTGGAGACACTGATTAAATGTGGAAAATTTTTAAAGATAAGTTTTTAAATATTCAAGACAAACCAGGTTGGCTCACAAAGGGTATAAGAAATAAAATTAAAGAAAAACATAAAAAATTTAAATTGACTGGTATGACGGGAGGTTTAGAAGATTAAGAAAGTCGGTCAAATAGGAAATTAGGACATCAAACAGGATGTATAAAAAAAAGGTTGGCTGAAAAAGTAAAAGTTAAGAATACGGATTTTTTTAAATACATTAAGGTTAAACAAAATGTTAGGATGGGGTAATAAAGGTAGGCTTGTTTCGGATGATTATGAGATGGCTGGTTTATTAAATTTTGCTTTTTCTAAGTTTTTACTAATGAAGATTTCAACAGTATTCCTCATCTTGAACAGTTGATAGATGGAAACAAAGTCGAACGAGATAATTGCAATAATTATGAGCCTGTTAAGAAAAAATTGGGAAGTTTAAAGGACAATATGGCTCTTAGATTAGATAATATTTCCCAAAGGGTTTTGAAGGAGGTTAAGGATTGGATATGTGAGGCACTTGCTACTATTTTTGTAAGTCCTTGAATAGTGGGCAGGTACCAAAGGATTGGAAGTTAGCTAATGTCACTCCTTTGTCACCATCACTGTCCCAGTAATTATGATATACAAACCGATAAACAAAGTCAGTGAAATTCTTAATACAACTAAGTTTCTTTGTGTGTTTTTTAATTATGCACAAAGCTACACAAGGGCTATCTGTTCTCTGCCCACCATGAGTATCAAAACCCGGTTTCTAGCGTTGTAAGTCCGCAGACATACCGCTGTGCCACTGGGGGGCAAATAATTCAACTAAAGATAAAATTGATTTAATGGAAAAATTTGGCATATATAAAATATTATGTGAATGTAAAAACGTTTATATAGGACAAACATGAAGAAATTTAGAATTCAGGCTGAATGAACATAAAAGAAATGTTAAAAATAATAATATTACTATTTCACCTTTTGCATAATATGTTAGTGAAACTAATCACACAATTCAATGGGAAAAAACTATTATTTTTGCACAACCTGGAAATGTAATTGGTATGAATATAC